ACATATTATTAATTCACTCGCTTTAGAAAATTGAATAAATGAAAGTTAAATAAATCCACAACATATGCAAATTTCCCAGGAGGATAACCATCATTTACGCTACTCATTTTTTAACAGTTAACATCTTTTTTTTGGGCGAGTATGACCCCTTGATTTTTGTAAACTATTTTGATAGTTAAAAAGCATTAATCAATCAAGATAACGTAGATATTTATTCAGCTTTTAAAAACTTGATTTTAAAGTCTTACTATAAATGGAGTTTGGCACTAGCTAATAATTGCCGATCATAAATGAACAATGGCCAGTCTTCTTTTGAGGAATTCATAAAAGTTCGCTTCGTTCCAAGACGAATGACTTGGCTGGGCGTCAAGGGCAAGGGAAGTTCCATCTGAGTAAATTTAGACCGATTTTATTGTAGTAAAGTTTTATAGTAAATGGTAGTGAAACATAAAACGAAGGAAGTTAATTGCAGCAAAACTGTAGAACAGCTTTGGTTACTAACAAACCGAAATCTCAGAACTTTTCTTGATTTAGTTCAGATCATGCATTTTAGGACGTTGACATCCTATTAGCGAATTACTAAAGAATTTTCGCTTGCTCACTATTTTTGGAGATTTAGTTTAAGAAGTTTGTTAATTAACGTAACACCTTTAAAGCAGTCTAATCAGTTTAAAAGTTCAGCCCTCGTGACCTAAATCTGTCTTAATGCTTATCTACCCAGTTAGTTTCGTAAAACAAACATCAACGGGGCACAAGGCCATTAGAAATGATTATTCATTAGAAGTTTAGCAAAACACAAAGAAATAAACACTGTAGATAAAAAATAAATATGGGTCCAGATAAACAATATTTTGTTCTGACACGTTACATTAAATGAGAAAGCCCCTTTCATGAATTTTGTCATTGAAACATAACAGCGTCAATCAAGTTACATAATGAATAGAAGAGGTTAACCCTCAAACCGGAAGGAAAAGGGTTTGACGTAAAACTGACGCACAAGATACCATAATTTAAAAAATTCAGTAAGTTCTAATTTGCAACCACATTTCGGTCAGTACGAAACAGTCGAGTCAAACAGAATGAACAGAATCCTTACCCCCATAAAAATAACGTAATGTTAAATGACCGACCACGTACTGGGCCACCATCAACTGAATTAGATCGGGTAAATGACCAGCAAATTATACCGCCTTTTGCGTTTGTTCAGACTCTTTAGATCAAAGTAGAAATGCTTTATTGAACTACATAAGAAAGAAAATCTTTCTGCTTTCAGTGAGTGCATGTTGGTGTTTATTCACCTAAAATGACTAAATTGTTTATCGTGTTTTAATAACTAATGTATGCATAAAAAGTGAAACAAAATTCTAACTAACTTCAGACAGAAATTTTACAAAAAGGGAATAGTTATTTATCTTATTAGTGGGATAGAGCCATTATTACAGCACTACGAGTGTGAAGATTGCAGAAGACGAGGTCGTTAGACCGAGTCATCTGTAATCACACGAGTTGCTGTAATATGCTCTAGCCCACGTATGAAATACAAAACTTTATCTACAACTGCCCAAAAATGAAAAAGAAAAAAAGCCGATTAAATTTTTTTATTAATTAAAAATCAAGAATCAAGAGAATTTTTGCAGTGTTATGACAACCGCTCAAATTTGTTGTAAACAACGCGTCAGATTTTAGAAAAAAAATGTTGTTCAATCGAGAAATGAGTGATTCTGAAGCAGAAAGCTTGCCTTTCGAAACAGAAGAAGCTGCTACAAACCTAGTGTCTTCATTGTTCCCTGATAAATCAAAAACTAAATACGAAAAACGGTTCACTGACTGGTGTGCATCCAAGAAAATAAATCATGAAGCAAGATAGAAGGTGCTGTTGCCATTTTTTGAAGATTTGTCGAAAAGTTATAAATGCAGCATCCTTTGGGCTGTATGTGAAGGTACTGAAGGTTATATCGACACTTCGATTGAAAACAAGAAAAAGACCGCTTCTGATATTCTTGGAGGTGATCCTGGAGCCAGAACAATTACGGCCAGTAGCTACAACCGAGATTCAAGCATTGTTAGAAGAGAAATCTTAAATACTGGAGCTGTAACAAACATTTTGTTAACAAAACCTAAGCACTATGGACAAAGATACAAATAATTTCATTTCATCTGGTATTAATATCAGTAATCGTAAGGAATGTATTATCGACGTGTATAACAAATAAGTTAAGAATTAATCAATGTAATTTGTTGTAATTTACATGTTAATAAAATTCAACTAAGAAGTGGAGACCTTCATTACACCACTAGTGGTGTAATCTTTCTATTACACCACTAGTGGAATAAGAAGGTTTATTACTCAACTCAAACAGTGCCGAATGAGTTGTGTAATAAGGCCTTTATAAAGCAGTTGTAGATAAACATTTTTATACAAGCTTGAAAAACTTGATCGTAGAGATATTTTAGTGTACAAGAGTTTATCTTTCCGAGTGTAAGCTAGGAGAGTATTTTAACAGGATGACTCTGAGGAATGTTTTGTATAATGTTTTCTTGACCTTTTACTCAGAATATGAAAATGTCAGTGTTCTATTCCCGTCCATCTGTCATTTATCTGCCTGACGACAAATGTCTTGTCGCGATTTTAATAGTCAAATAATAATCTATACAACTTCTATGTCAACTATTGTGAAGATTATCCACCCCAAAAACTTGTTGACGTCATTTAAAAATGTTGCCAAATAAATTTCGCTCGGAATTTATATCGTATTGTATCACTATTTTTAACCTTACCCTACCATACCGTAAAAAATTAGTTTAAAATTTTTTAAAAATTTATTAAATAAATGTATGTAAAAATATATAGGTGTCCAGGATAAAAATCCGCGGCTTGTATTTTGAGAATAGAAAAAAATATTAAAATTCTGTAAACGCCATTGTTTTTAGCTTGAAGAGGAAGCCTAATTTAGTACATTAACTAATTTATATATTTTTAATTGTAACGTATACTATTATAATTAATTAACTGTGCTACTTAAATCCTACAAAATATGTATAAAATATCTAGTCTTTACACTTGTAGTTTATTATTGCATCCATAGTTTTAAATTTGTTCATACCGGTGTTCTAAAACTGTTTATGAATAACGCAATTTATTTTATTCATTTAATTAAAACTACCGACTTATTTTTCGGAAATACTGGAAATGCAAAAATGTTGTTGTCATGCCTATCCCAACTGACCTGTTGGTTCCTTACAAAAATGTTGATAATGTCATATGACAAAATTTTATAGTTTATGTAAGAAATTAGATTAAATTATGCTTCAGGAGCGGGAAAAATTCTGTCTGAATAACTGTAAACCAATTTGTTATTCTGTACTGGAACTGATTATTGAAAAAAGTGTTTGAAGTAGCTAGAAAGAACCCAGAATGATGTTTATTTCAAATACTTATATTATTTATTGTTTTTTAAGTTAAACTTGTCTGTTTGAAATGAGAGCGATATAGAAACTTTTCGTTTTCCTAGACACAAGTTGCAGGTGCAACTCCATCATGTGTTTGCTTGAAATAACTTGAGAAATGAGATTCCAAGCATCCTGTCGGTAACGGTTTTAACTTTTTATAAATTGAAATGTCGTTGACAACTTTCACGAGTTAAGCTCGAAGTTTCAACAACTTCTGGACAATTCTAGTTCTGATCCTTTCCTGCGGTTAAAAATGCATCAACATAATGGCTACGTCCTCTTCAAGTATTTCACTCTAAACAGTTGCATATTAAAGCGCATGATCAGTTTTTATATCATTTCAAATAGGGTTGTTGAATTTGGTTATGTTCATGCATCAGCTTAATCTAAGTATTGTAGACTCAGTTCATAAAACCTTATAAAATTAATGTGATTATATAACCATCTGATAAAATGAAAGAAATCTATTGAAATTCAGTATTAACGCGCTCTTCAACAAGACATAAGCTTAATTTAGTATCCGGCTCACGATCCATCAGATAAGTAAAAATCTTTTGAGCTTTACAGAGGGAAGGTTTAATACTGACATTTAATAAAAGTTGGTACACTTAGTTGATGTTAATACCTAACTTATTTTACAACAGTACATGAAGCTGAGTATGATCGTCCTACTTTTTTGAAAACAAGAAATTTATTTAAAAATATTGTCTGGTGTGTAGTGAAAGTGTGAGGGAAGTTCTGTCTAAAGAATTTTAAACTAATTTTTTAATGAGTGATGTACAGTCATGTTAGGAAGTAAATAGCCTATATAAAAGAAGATAGCACTCCACTTTCCATTGAAATATAGTCAATATAATAGTATGTAGGTAGATATATGCTCGTCAAAGTGTATTTTTCAAAAAGTTTTTGTTGCTTTTAAAATAAAGTCGAAGTCATCAAATTAAAAAAAAAAACAAATAGTAAAGACAAAATTTCCTGTGTGCTTGTAACAGTTTTGGGTTGCTCAAAAATGATATTAAAAAATGCAGTAAACACTAACAAGTTGCTGAAAGCAACAAGTGCTGCAAAAACTCGCCCAAATCCAAAAATATCTCTGTAATTCATGATTATTAGGTCATATAGAAGCAATCTTGTGACAAAGTCTGTGGTAGTTTTCTACTAAATTACATTAGGCCGAGGAAAGGTCCAACATACATTCAGCATTGTGTATAGTGAACTGGTCCAAGAAAATTTCACTCACTTAATCCATACCGCCTGAATCTGACTTCGAATCATATAAATGTTACGTGTAGTGTAATTGCTCGGGTCGTTTGTCATCTTTACTGGATGAATGGCCAAAGCGGTGGCGGAATAGCTCCTTTTGCTGAGAGTGATGTTGACAGCTGAACCGCCTGGTCCATTCATAACTCGACAGGAACGCAAAACATCTCATGCATTTATTAATAGCTACTTAAATATGTGACTTGACTCTAGTGCAAATTAAAACGCACTTCTTAGCCTTTTCCTTTTTCCTTGATTTTCTTATTAATTCTCGTCTTTTATTTATACAGAAACGGAGAGAAAACTTTGCTTATCACAAAGGCTAGGTCAGCAGAACAGTCGGTCATATGGAGGTATGGATCGATGTTAAATGTTGCTCTTCGCTACAACCTCAGATAAACTAGACTGAAAGTCCACAGGGAAGAAGTTCCGGTAATAACGTTTTATTATAAGGGCATTTTTCACTTTAAATTTCAGTCTCGTTTATCGGTTTTTGCTCCATTCACCGTATACCGAATGTTATTTATTTGTTTTTTTAGTTAACTACATTTTGCCGCTTGCTCCATGTTGTTGTTGTTGCTATTGTTGTTGTTGTTGTCTTTTATGTGTTTATTGTAATTTATTTGTTTAAATATTTATTAATTAGTTTTGACGATATTCTCAATCAGTGGCCACGATTGATTGTGGAGGTAATACGAGCGGATTACTAAAATTGATGCCGGGAATTAAGGTGCCTTTGGGACATTGGATATCTTGTGCAATGCCGTTTCCTCCAAATCTTACGTATCTTTCATACTCAATTTTTGACTGCTAGCTTTACCCAGTAAAGTCTTATATAGTGTTATTATATAACTTTTGGGGAAATTCTAGTTAAAATGGTTAAAATAACAAAAATTCATTATAATTATTATTAATGCTTTTAGCTTTTTAATGGTTATGGGGGTAGAAACAACTAATTTTAGGCAAATGAAAGTTTGCATAAATATAGAATATTATCAGGCACCAAGTCTCGACTTGTAACATTTTTGCATTTTGATGATATTTTAGTCTGTTTTACCTCCTACGTAGTTATCAAGGATTGCTTGTTATTTTATTTTTTTTTTTTTTTTACTTCGAGAAACTTTGTTGTTGTGCACGAATATTGTTGTTCATTTGGGTTAAAAAAACTAGTATAAGCTATAGCAATCTCTCTAGGACATCTAGCTGTAATTGTCGTTGTAATAAAACTGGATATGCCCTCTTTAAGGAGAAAGAATGGACCCTTTTAAATGTTATTTGGTTTCTAGAGTGTTGTAGTGGGCTGACGCTTCAACAGTGGTTCAATAAATTTAATCACATATTCAATCAAACAATACAGTTTCAAGGAATTTGCTCTCGAGTGCGTTTTGATCAGTTGTTAGCAAACGTGGCACTTATCATTTAGACTGAGTTTCCATTCTACCTAACACTTTGTTTAGGATACGAAATGTTCGTTCATCTGAGATGATCACACTTAGCCGTTTCGGACACTTTCGGTCGAGGACTTTTCAAAACAAAACTGTGTAATTTATGAATAATTTGTCAGGCGGTTGTTCTTCGGGAGCAAAAATTTTATGCTACTATTAAATAATAGTCGACAAAATTTTTGGCAGCGTTAATCACCAATTGATGCTGTTTTAATGTTTGAAACATAATTCAAAATAATTAAATAAAAGAAAATTATTTTTTGAAGTTTACTTATGGTCTATCAGGTTCAATGAGTACTAGATCAGCGCGTCATTACAGTGTTAAGTTTAAGATAGTAAAAAAAAACTTGTATCAGAAGATTCAGATATTTTCTTGTGTACAGGATAATTCCATGTTGTTAATAAGTTCTAATACTCCTAATAAATTAGTGAATTTCCCTCTCTTACCACTTAGAAAAAAGGTAGAAGTACATTTTAGTCGTCTTCATATTTTTAAAAAATTCCATAAGTTATTACATGAAAGTTTTTTCCAAATAAAACCTGGTGTTTTATCTAAAAATATAAATCTGAGGAAGGGGGCGTAATGAATCAGTTAGGATTTTAATCCATGGCTTACATGCATTATACGGCAACATTTTGTTGGAATAACTATTTAATATACACGATCAAGCCTATTACAAAGTGAACGCAAACACAAAGACGAACCATAGCCCTTAATCATGTCTGTTAGTTTTGGAACTATAATTTTAGTAATTTTCCACTCTACAAGACAAAATAAATATGATCCTACAGCCATTTCAGAACTGGAAATGTTATGAAATTCAGTTGCCTTTATGTAATAAATGTATCTGGATCAAAAACAACGTCGGCATCGAATGAGTTCATGTTTATTTCACATTGCGTGGTCTCTATAAAATCAACATTCATTGCCAAGCATAATACTTATTTTAAACATATCGACATAATTATATCCGTAGGATAACTAAATCCTTTTACAATTGCTTTTTGGAAATCCATGCAAACTCTTTCTATGGATAATAATTTATTTGAGGTGAGAAATAAATTTCGTTGATTCATATACATATTTTGATGTCTGACATTTTATAATAGTAAACCAAATAATACAGAACGTGAAAATTATTTATCCGACAAAATTTTAGTACTAAAACGAATTATTAGGATGATATGTGATTTATACACTTCAGATTATTATTGAAAAAATTGTCGTTTAGGGATGTACTTAAATTGAACTAATTTTTGTTCTAAAGAGTTCATTTAGGTGTTTATTTCGGTGTGAGTATTGTAATTTTTTATGTTTAAATGATATTGTAAACAATTATCTGACAGCCTATGTAATAAAGACACAGAAAAGAATTTGTTATGCGGTTGTTAAGGCATTTTTTCAATTCGTTTAAGGTCAGAAGTGTAAACTTTAATATTAAAAATTAGCTCGTTCTAGTAACTCAAATTTATGTTATTTTTAATCTTTGTTTACAAGTTCAGAAATGAAGGTTTATTTTTGGTGTCATTAACTTTTGACAATTTGGAAACATATCTATGATCAACATTGAAAAAGACAGAAATAAGAGAAATAAATAAATAGAAAAGTAAAACAGCTGAATTATCTCATTAGTTCAAGCACTTCATTGACTGATTTCACCAGTAGTTGATTTTTAGTTTTGGTAATTTTGTTGTACATTTATAACATGACAAATGACTAGCAGGATGTTAAATCTCGTTTAGTCCACACGTACAGTGTGGGTTTAGCTATTGATTTAAAGCAGAAAATTCAATTCTCTACAATTTTGCCTGTCAAAAAAATAATGTGTGGCGTAATTTATTAGACTTTTATTATGTGATATAAAATTTATAGGTCGTAAATTTATTAATTTTCCGAATCATAATCACAAATATGATCATCGTATTAGAAAAATTAAATTAAGTACTCTAATAATCGGCTGTTAACGTTTTTATGCTTTCATAGCGAAAAGCAATTAGCTTAAAACGATTACTTGGCTATTTTCTTCAGTTACGTCTCAGTTTATACACAAGACAAAGTTAACAGAGAAATGTGGTAAATCAAAGTGGACAACGTCAAACGTCCTGATAAATCCCGCATTTGGGTCAGAAATCAAAGCAAATCTTTCTCTTGCGAGGAAGGATCTCAATTCACCATGTCAGTTTAGTTTTTCTCAATGTCTGGTACGCCTACATTTACGGAACATGAGGTTTAAATTGGAATCTAAACCCTGTATCAGGCCGTGAAATAAAATCTAAATAGCAAGATCGAGTGAATTTCGTCGCACGGGAAAGACATTAGTCTCGATACACTGAATCATTTTTCATTAAAATTTGCAAATGCATTTTATATTATATATTAAATGAATACTATTGATGCAGGCAAGGACTTGTGGATGGACCCAGGATGTAGCAAAAGAAAGAATCGATATTGAGAAGGAGCGTTAGACGGTATGCGCAATGCGCATGTTTATTTCTTTTAAATTTTTATAAATATTCAAAAGTTATGCATTATTGTTATCGATATTCAAATATTTTTTCAATTTTTCTTGTAGTTAGACTAGCTCTAGAAATACTCATCTACTTAATTGCTTTTGTAAACACTTCCATTCGCATTTTATCGCTATTTTCTTTATTGACATCACCTTTTTTTGTTTTAATCGCATGTTTTGGTTAAAACACTTTCTTCAATATCTCCACGATAACTCAAACTTGATTAAATTCAACACATAGCACCATATAAAAAAAGGACGCCGTTTTTGGAACCGTGTGGCTTACCACAATCGTCAGAGTTAATCTGTTTTCTGCTAAATTTGCCTCCATGTGGTCCGCAGGTAAAATGAGTGCCGTATTTAATGGAACAAATTTAGGTCAGCTAACCGTTTAATTTTTTTGCTGCGGTAGCAGGACGGTTATGTACACTTTGAGCTTATGAAATAAAAACGGAGTGTTAGTGACATTTCTGACCACAGAACAACTGCACGTGGTTAAGTCGTTCTTCAATTTGCCAATCTCTGACAATAAAAAAATTTCTTTTTACTGAGGGGCACAACTAAAGATAAATTTTTGTAACGTCATCAGCTTGCGTTATTTTACAATATCGTAGTATCATCAACTTCATGTCTAGACTACTATCGGGACCAACGGTTTATAGTTCATGAATGCTGTTTTATAATTTTCGTATTCCCATCTTCGAGTTCATATAGAACCCTACTTAGAATGTATAGAGTCACTTTTTATCCACCCCCAATTACGTCAAACGGTATCCTGAAACCTTGACCCGCGAATTTGCATAATTTGGTTTGGCGGGGTTGTCCTATATAGATAAGATCTGTCTGTTCCACTTTCCTATATTACGCGCCTATCATCGATTGAGAACTCATCCTTAAGTATAGCTACTTATTCCAAGGAAACTTTAAAACATTTAACCCAAACGTTTTTGTCAGTCACAGAATGTGAAATTAAATACTGAAAACTGTATCCCACTTGCACCAGCTTTAGTTTTTCTAGAATGATTTTGTGTTTTATTTTAATGAGTACCCAAAATCATTTGTAATTGGATGGATTAGGTTTACACGTTTAAATTACAATCAGAACTGAAAAAGGCGTAACGTTCAAAGATGATTGATTTATTGAACATGTGACAGTATAAAACGAGAAGTTACCCTCCGTGTAGTTGATACTATTCAGGAGTCTACGAACTAAACTCATTTCCTTTTTTCATATTTATAGCCTATTAAAGTTTATAGAGTGGTAACTTGTAAGTCAGTTTCTGCAGAAATAATAAAAGTATTTTTTGATACCAAGGTTTTAAAAGTAGATCATGGTGTGCTTTACAGTTTTTAAAATGAGGATTTTTAAACGTTCTTCAACACTGTGGTTGTCGGTGT